TGTCGAAATGATTCCATAGGAATTAAATCAATAGGTATGTTATTAATATATAAATAAAATGTTCCATTGATTTGAGAAATATTTGTTACTTAATTAAGGAAAAAGATCACGTGCCTTAATATTTCAAAAAATTGAATTTGAACGAGGATTCAACCTTACACGGTTCACCTCATCTGATCACAAGTCAACTGCGTTACCCGTTCAGCTAGGACAGACGAGTACAGAAATACAAACTGTTGTAACCCAAGACAGACGAGTACAGAAATACAAACTGTTGTAACCCAAGAAACACTTGTTTCCGTTTTAAGAAAATTGCTCACCGCAGGTTTTTTTTTTATCATTTTGAGCACTTTCCCATAGGAGGACCAGACGATTTATTTTGCATATTACATCATGGAATCAAAACGTGGAATACCAAGTTGGTCCTCGGGTGGGAAAGTGTTGGAAGTATTTTTTTTAAGTCTGGGAAATCCCACCACTTTCATAGATATATAGTGAATATGGCTGTATTTGCAGTGTCATATTAGCAATACCTAATATCTCAACAGTTCAAAAACTCACATTCAATTGGTTTTATATGTATTCTATGCAATTTCGATACTAGAATTTATTTACTCATTAATGTTTTTTTCCGTTTTCATAAATGCCAACTTAGGGAATTATGGGCAATTTTCCGCCATAGCTCTTTATCGATAATCTACGGACACATCACGTATAGCTAGTTTTAAGGAACCTTTACGATTTGAAAGTAAAACTTTGCTAGCAGAATAGTTTTGGTAAAACAAATTACTATTTAAGAAGACCGCTTTCCGGAATTATCAATATCCTGATGATGAGGTATTAATTAAATAAAAGAATATCAGAAAATATAGATGTCTACTTATTCATTGTATGTTTTTTTTTTTTACATTTTCAATATTCCGGCATATTACTTCATAAATGAGCCAACGCTTATACGACCGACATACTTGATCCTTTGTTTTTAATTGTTTCATGTTATAATATATACTATGATAGTTGTATGCTTGTATTATTATTCAAGCCTACTCATAAGCGTAACATTTGAGTGCAGACATGCTTCATTGTCAAAATCAAATTATAGCTGGAACAATTTTCTTTTCTTAGATTAAAATTGCAAATAATGCAATCATAGTTTTACAAATATTTGTATTACATCTAAAGGGGTTAACATAAGACAAACCTTAGTTGACCTTCAATTAACAGCTAAAGTATCTAAATGGAAATCCGAGATAGGTTGCATAAACTCTTTAAGTAAATCGAGTCCCTTACAAATATTTATCTATTAATTGATTTATTTAAAACGAAAATCCATGCTTATATTATTTGTTATGAAAATGTTTAGTAAATGAAGAGTGTTCGTCCTCGGGTCCAAACTATTATTTAGACTTATCAAGTTACACAAGCGATCATGTGTTTACATGGTTACAACTGCTTGAGGTACATTTAGTGAGAACGTTTGTAATCGTTTTGTTCTTTGGCAACAAAACACAACGTTCACCATAAACGGTCAGCAGGCAAAACACTGGAGAATTCCGCTGAATACTTTTATAACAGTAACCTCCCATTACTTACGTTTAGATAGATCTTGATCAAGAGACTACCCATGCTCATTGTAGCTCAGGAGGCTATAGTGAACAGATATTGATTCTGATCGTGTGCTTTTTTATGTTTTTTTAATGCAGAACATTTTTGTTGTTGTTGTTATTATTATCTTGATTATTTGTTCATAAAACTCTGCAAGGTATGGGTTCGTTTCAGAAATGATTCGTTTTGTACGCTATTTTCATGGTAGTAGTTTTTGGCAGTTGTCCGTGATTCTTAATGACAAAATAGAATAAAAAAAAGGAATAATCTTTTTTTTTTAAATGTCAAAAATACACAAATTTGAAATGTGGCTTTTGGTAAAAGAGAACTTGACGTAACTGATCGTTTGTTTCTACCATAAATGTCATCCAAGTACCAAAAGTAGTTAATGTTGAAGTTCTGTGTAATAGCTAACGCGGTATACATCTGTGGTATACTTACAATAGAACAAGTAATCTAGACTCGCGGAGATTTAAAAGGCGTCGGTTAATGTAACCTTAGGACCGTCGTAAAAATAACATTAAGATGTGTTTGATTAAAAAGATGAACCGGTCAAACCTATCAACTGACCATTAAAGAGTACACGTGTCCATGAATGTTTAGTAAAGGTGTTGATACCGGTCAGTTTGGCCGGAAGGGAAATGGACACTGGTCAACTGCTTCCTACATTTTACAAAAATAACCATAAACTGTGTTCGAAAGCATTGACAGTCCCGGCTATTTCACTCCGGAGTATTTTATAAACGTTTCACTCCTGTCGTAGTTCGTTTTAACCAACTTTTTGAGTAGCATAAATTGTGTATTTAACAAGTGAATATACTGTTTTCAAAATTAAAAAACGTTCTACAACATATCTGCCATAATCCTTATGTCGAGGTTCATATTCAATCGGTAAAAAGATATGATTGGTATTGAAAAACTGTACAACAACCCAGAAAAACGGACAACTATTCTAATTTAATTAGAAATACTTCTATGTTGGTGATTTTTTTTATTAATAGTTATTATAACAAATGAAGTACAAATGTATAAAGACGTCAAAAACACAGCATGAGGGCGGGCATGGTGAAGACGAATATCAACTTTGTTAATAAAAATGATTGCCAATTTCTTGTAATACAGTTATTTCTTTTTTTATTCCTAGTGTCCGACGTTCTGTGTGCTATATAGAAGTAATGGTTAAATTAGTGCGGAAGACAGGTTCTGTTATTTCTTTTTGTGTTTTTATTTTTGTATTTTCTTTTCGTGTTTGCGAGATATGACATTTTGTTAAAAAAACTGATCTGTGTTGGTGTAATTTAAAACAGTTTTTGCTTTCATTTATGCCTGTATAACGTACAAGAATTGCTTTTAATAGAGGCGGGTCGACACTTACTAGAGAGTGCGTGGTTTGTGTGGGCTGGGGTTTCTAGGTATCCAGGTGAGTTCCAAATGAGATAATTCATGACTATTTAATTAATGACAAAACAAAACATAAATACAAATGAAATGGGTCAGGAGTTATAAGTCTGCAAGTCATTCTTCTCTATATAAGATCGAAAACCTTTAAAAGGCTGTATGAAGCTAACAAAACATAGTCCAATGTCACGGTGACAATTGTGGTACGGTATAATTACTACATGTACATAAAACCACGGACCCTGGTACAGGTGATTCCCGGAACGCATAAATTTTCAATTTACCTGTAGGGCAACTTGTTTTGATTGGGATTATTGTCTTTTTCTTAAAAGTGTCTGAGTTTCAACAAGTGTATCTACCTGTAAATCTTACCTGTCGGAACTCCAGCACATATGCTTATATAAATATTCATATATATATTTTGTTTGCCTGTCTAATTTTCTTAAGTTATATATTTTTGATAATACATGTATTAACAAGCTGCTCCCTGATATAATATTAATTGAACTGATCATGCAATTATACATAAATAAATAAAAATATAGCACAATTAATTTAACAACACCCTAATTAGCATATATATCTTAGTCATTTGCTGAAAAACCAAATCTGTAAATATTTATTAGTACCTTACAGGTTTATTAGTGATTAAATAACATTTTAAAGAATCAATGTGGTATACAAAAAAAGGATTACTATGATGATGATGATATTATTCTTTGGAACCTTTTGCAAGTTACATAAAAATCGTATTTTTACCTGTAAAATCACAGGTAGGTCTACCGGTAAAATATCTCAGGTAAATATAGTACATATATGATACAAACTATAATTACCTCCTTTCGATGTTTCTACCTATTGTTCTAAAGATGTATGCGTTCAGGGAACACCCCTCCTGGTACTCCTCACCAAACATTGGTACTCGGGGTCAATAAATCAAAGGAACGCCCGACGGACATACGGGACCAACACAGCGTAAAGGCTGACACGGTAATCACAAGCATTGGGCTACAGCTTCGTACGGTCATAGCTGGATATGTCACATTGATCTCATTTATTCCGTTAATATTTGTTTTCATCAGAAGAGAGGATAAGAATGAAGGAACAGTGAATTCAATTAGTCGTATGGATTAACTGGATTGTTTATATGTAATTAACGGTGAGTGAAAAACGATGCTATTTCTTTTCTCGACAAATTCTACAGCGATTATATCGAAACTTCTTAAATATGTTAAATGTACAACCTGTTGTTAAACTTTTTTTCTGAGGTAATTGACAATTGGAAAGAATTCTAGGAAAAAAATAGTTTAAACATAATTCAAAGATAAAATACATCGACTGATTTTTCACAAATAAGCATTTATTAATTACAAATTTGGAACATTACTCAACATATTTTTTTTATAAAAATGGTATATTTGAAACAATAACTTGACAACGAACCACGTAGTCGATGTAAAGGAGAAGCAATTGTTTGATTATTCCCTGCTGTTAATTACATAATTACCAGTCTTTGAGTTCAATGTATCAGTGTTAAACTATCGACCCATTTGAAATCAAGAACACATTTCTGGGTACATTTCCCGACAAAATGGCCGTATCATCAGCTCGCCTTATTGTCGTGGTGTTACTTAGTTTACTTGAAGTCTTACTGTTCTGTGGACTACAGTACGGATGGGCTTCCTTACTTTACATTTTAAAACACGAGAACGTATTTGAAGACCTCTGTATAAAAGGCGATAACGTCACTTCCGGAAATAGAAGTTATGTGGTTTCCGGTGAAGACTGTTTCCCTCAGGATGAAAGGTTTAACCTGTTCTTTAGTATTGGAATTACAGTATTTACAGTGATATGTGTCATAACGGGACAACTATACTTCAAGTTTGGTGTGAAGGAAATACGGACTCTCAGCGTGTAAGTATGTAGTTTTATTAGAACTGCTGATGTTGTTTTAAGCCTTATCTTATTTATATTTGTTTCGGAACGTGGCATTCAATATGTTAGTGTATTTCCGTCTCTCCCCATCCCTTCCAGTACCACAATCTCTCCATCCCTTCCAGTACCACCATCTCTCCATCCCTTACAGTACCACCATCTCTCCATCCCTTCCAGTACCACCATCTCTCAATCCCTTACAGTACCACGTTCTCCCCATCCCTTCCAGTACCACCATCTCACCATCCCTGCCAGTACCATCATCTCACCATCCCTTCCAGTACCACCATCTCTCCATCCCTTCCAGTACCACTATCTCCCCAACCCTTCCAGTACCACCATCTCCCCATCCCTTCAAGTACCACTATCTCCCCATCCCTTCCAGTACCATCAGCTCCCCATCCCTTACAGTACCACCATCTCTCCATCCCTTACAGTACCCCCATCTCTCCATCCCTTCCAGTACCACCATCTCTCCGTACCTTCCAGTACCACTATCTCCCCATCCCTTCCAGTACCCCCATCTCCCCATCCCTTCCAGTACCAACATCTCCCCATCCCTTACAGTACCAACATCTCCCCATCCCTTACAGTACCACCATCTCTCCTTCCCTTCCAGTACCACCATCTCTCCATCCCTTCTAGTACCACTATCTCCCCATCCCTTACAGTACCACTATCTCTCCATCCCTTCCAGTACCTCCATCTCTCCATCCCTTCCAGTACCACTATCTCCCCAACCCTTCCAGTACCACCATCTCCCCATCCCTTCAAGTACCACTATCTCCCCATCCCTTCCAGTACCACCATCTCACCATCCCTGCCAGTACCATCATCTCACCATCCCTTCCAGTACCACCATCTCTCCATCCCTTACAGTACCACCATCTCTCCATCCCTTACAGTACCCCCATCTCTCCATCCCTTACAGTACCACCCTCTCTCCATCCCTTCCAGTCCCACCATCTCTCCATCCCTTCCAGTCCCACCATCTCTCCATCCCTTCCAGTACCACTATTTCCCCATCCCTTACAGTACCACCATCTCCCCATCCCTTACAGTACCAACATCTCCCCACCCCTTACAGTACCACCATCTCTCCATCCCTTCCAGTCCCACCATCTCTCAATCCCTTACAGTTCCACGTTCTCCCCATCCCTTCCAGTACCACCATCTCCCCATCCCTGCCAGTACCATCATCTCCCCATCCCTTCCAGTACCACCATCTCTCCACCCCTTCCAGTACCCCCATCTCTCCATCCCTTACAGTACCACTATCTCTCCATCCCTTCCAGTACCTCCATCTCTCCATCCCTTCCAGTACCACTATCTCCCCATCCCTTCAAGTACCACCATCTCCCCATCCCTTCCAGTACCACTATCTCCCCATCCCTTCCAGTACTACCATCTCCCCATCCCTTACAGTACCAACATCTCCCCATCCCTTACAGTGCCGCCATCTCTCCATCCCTTCCAGTACCACCATCTCTCAATCCCTTACAGTACCCCGTTCTCCCCATCCCTTCCAGTACCACCATCTCACCATCCCTGCCAGTACCATCATCTCACCATCCCTTCCAGTACCACCATCTCTCCATCCCTTGCAGTACCACCATCTCTCCATCCCTTCCAGTACCACTATCTCTCCATCCCTTCCAGTACCACCATCTCTCCATCCCTTCCAGTACCACTATTTCCCCATCCCTTACAGTACCACCATCTCCCCATCCCTTCCACTACCACCATCTCTCCATCCCTTCCACTACCACCATCTCCCCATCCCTTCCAGTACCACCATCTCTCCATCCCTATTTACGCACCTCTTCGTCGGTAAATCCTCAGAATCCAAGTGTTCCGCACTCGAATATGGAATATGCCATGACAAAATCAAAGGTTCTTTAAGCGACACTTGGCGGATGATAGTGGACTGTTCTGATGTCTTTAATGGAGATCAAAGATATCGCAAGGCAGCGCAACGGTAAACTCTTCAGATTTTGAATTTGGGTCCAGCAAATCTTACAAGTTTCAATTCAAAAGTATTTTCTCGACAATACATATATAATACAAACATATAAGTTAAAATAAAAGAAGATGTTAGAACAGTATTGACAAAAGAATCAGACAACAGGCTATGCCTATATCAGTCTTCTATTTCCGGTAGCTATGTACAATGATTAAACATATAGAATGTTGTAATTCGTTTTCCTCTCACACACATGCACACCCACAACCACATCAGCTTTTGTGTAATACTCATTGTACGTATGTGTTAAGGGTCAAAACTTGCCTGAATGATTATAACAATAACAATACATGAATATTAATTTGGAATTTATCTAGCACATATAAATAACGAATCGTTTTGATGACTTAATATAAAAGTCAACATGTATAAGAATAGTATTACTTAATTGGTCAGATGCATTACTAATACCATATAATAAAACATTGCATATTTATATATCCTAGTAGAATAAAGACGATGGAAATATGATGCCTAATATTTTAATACAGAGGACACTGAAAGAAAAATTGTATTAGATCTTCCCTCTGGGCACCACATACCCATGAAGCATCATCAATCAGATAGTCTTGTAACTTGTCAAATTTAAGATCACCTTTAATATTTCTTAGCTGACATAAAATGATGTTAAGTTTCCTCGGAACACAGTTGATAAAAGTTGCTGAGACGGATGTATTATAAGTTTTTTTAAGTTTCTTTTTTAAAGATGAAATTGAGATAGAATATCGTACGGTGTTATCAAGTGCATTCCATTTCACCATTGTAGAAGGGAAGAAGCTATTCATATAAGTAGTAGTTCTTGTCTGTAGTATATTAAAGAATCTGTTATATCTGAAGGTAAAGTTATTATTTACATTTAGAAATGTTTGATTGATATCATCGAGCTAAGTTGGAGTGTAATTATTATGAATCTTATACATTAATAATAGTTTATGATTTTGTCTTCGTGTGTATAATGTTTCAAGTTGTGTTTCAGTATACAGAATGTGATGAGATAAACCTCGTCGGGGGCCAGTAACTTGAACTGATTCTAAAAGATCTGATTCAGATTTGGTATAATTATCTCATACTATATCAGAATATTCTAGCACAGGTCTTATATAAGAGACATATACTGTTTTTAATGTATTCCTATTTTAAAATCCTAAGAATACTTAGTGTAGAGTTAGCTTTGTTATAAATATTTGAAATGTGATCTGACCATGTCCCTTTACTGTTAAATGTTAGTCCTACGTGAGTATGGTGTTTATATTGTGTAATTGGAGTAATGTTAAAAAGCAGTTGAGGATGGTTGTTAATGTGTCTACGAGAGAAGTTAATAGCCAATCATTACCAAGTAGTTCATTTAAGGATTGGTTGTCATACTTTTGACATGCATTGGTGTGTAACATACATTGGCTTACCTACATATCAACCATGGTGCGCTAGCGCGCCCCATTCACTATGTAGGTAAGCCAATGTATGTTACACACAAATGCATGTCAAAAATATGACAACCAATACTTATATTTAAATTTTATGTAAATCAACTTCCAGTTCATGCATAAATAAAGACATGATATTAGTCTGAACACGTTTCAACGTAAGGGTAAATTCATACAGAGAACAGCCACCAGTTGACAGTGGAGCAGTGCAATCTCCAACGTTACAGTTATGACGTCATAAGCATAGTGACGTCACAATAGCCCAATGTATGTTATACGGAAATAACATACATTATTACCCAATAGACTATATACATTATAATTAGTCATTTTTGACTGTTTCTGGCTTTTTGTCCAATTTCGGCTATAGGGGCGAAACAGTCAAAACTGTTTCCCGGTCAGGGCGAACTGTTACCCAGCGCGAATTTGATGCGCAGAAATCTCCCAATGAGAGTCCCGTTCAAGCGTGTATTTGACCTCAGCATTGATACTAAAATATGCTCTTTGCAGTGGAAATGTTAATATTATTAAAAGCATCACAATTAGCTTATATAAAGGTTTCTTAAATGGTTTATTTTTAGTGTTTTAAAACAAGTGTTAGCAAGACTGGGGCAGTGATCGATACAGAGAGGGAAAAGTACTTGTGTTGAGCTCTTTTTGTATTAGGAGGTCTATAAAGGCAGCAGAGAAGTAAGATTTTGTTAGAAGTGTTAATTTTTAGGATGACAAGTGCTATGTCTGCAGTTTCAAGATCAATTCTGTGATTTATTAAGAGGTTGTTTTTAGTATATATCATAATACCACCACCGTGTTGTGATTGTCTGTCCCTACGATATGAGTTGGGATGTAATTTAATTTGCAAATCATATTCAGCTATTTCATTATTCAGGTGAGTTTCAGTAAGACATAGGATGTCATAGTCAGTGAATTCAGTATCGATAAGATCAACATTGTTCCGAAGAGATCTAACATTTAAATGCATTATTGATAAATCATTATAGTAGTTTCTTTGATTAATACTGATTGATGAGGGACCTGGATTAGAGTGAATATTTCCTGACATCAGAACTTCAGAATAGTAGTTTTATAACAAACAGACTGTATATAATATCTTGAGTATACATGTATTGATATCATAATGGTATTACAGGCAGTAATAAAGCCAGATCTATAACATAGCTTACAATCACACACAAACATACTTACATACTACTAACACACAAAAAAACAACACTGTCAAATTATGCAGAAACTAGAGAAAAGAAATAACAGTGAGGACTCAATGGAAAATAAGAATCTTAAAATGTGGAAAACATCAATTTGATATATTAAATATAAATTGTATAGGGAGTGGTATACTGAACTTATGTATCAACACAATTAATAACAATAGTTTCCTGAATTCAGTGTGACATGCTCAACTATAACTCAGTATAAAATGAAAATTTCAATTGAATCAGATAAGTTAATAAATTGTATTTAAATAAATATATACAAATAGTTATATACAGTATATAAATGAAGATGTATCTCACGAGAAAGAACATAAGTTCTATCATTTGAGACATTTACATACTAGTATACTATAATTATAAGAAGAAAAATAATGATTATAACTTCAGTTGTCAGACAAGTTATAGATTATCAACGGTTTAAGGGAGATAACCTTTTCAGAAAGTAATTTTCAATTATAAATAATGCTATAAGTGAGCAATAGTTGGCTGAATTTCAAGAAATAAAGAAAATATCATAAGTAAACAGTAGTTCCATTATCACAATTTAGACGAAAAAAATATTTGTAAGTATCCAATGACAAATATAACATGGCGTTAAATACCTTAGGAAAAACCGAGAAAAACAAAAAGATTTATCAAGAGCAGACACAACGATCATAACAAAAAGTACATAAACATGAAAAAAGAATCAATAACTAAGTAAATAATTAAAATAAAATAAAATGTAAGAACGCAAGCAAGACACGAAAAATTAAGCAAATTAAGCTGCACAAGCTCATTGAAATATTAGTTGCTAATAATATGTATTCACTGTACATAATATACCATACAGATATATAGAGTATAGACCTGACATAGTTAAGTGGCTTGCCTGCAAGTTATTAATCAAGCAAAAAGATTTTTCGATGTAAGAATTCATGCATTACGTGAAGCAAAGCTAGCCAAGCAAAATGAAATATTGGGCACTCATAATATATTTGTACAGTATAAATAGATCAAATCTATTGTAGCTAAGGTAAATATAAATGAATTATTTCATAATAGAATAAGCATTACAAGAATACTTTCAATAAGTTAAATTTCACATAGAGTTAAAGCAATGCAAACTTAAGTTCTTTTGCAGGCACCAACCATCAGCAACACCCAATTCGGTATACTTACTGCACAACAATAAATGGAGCATTGCTTACATGTTCCTATGAAATTATAGAATAATTATTGTTATAGTTCAGGATCAAACAGGGGCTCAATATGTGAAAGTACATGTACAGGTAACTATATGTTTGAAAATCATATCAGATGATCAAATTACCAGATTAAACAGTTCAAACTAAACATGGTATATACACAAACATGAGTCAACATGATATAGATTCACAGTTGAACTGGTACACGAGCAGTGATATAGTGAATCATGAATGAAAATCATTTATAGAATTTAAATACACAATAATATATACACATATGATCAACAAGACTGTCACTTGGTCTGTAGTGGTGTTGAAGTCATAGACTGACTCAATGGTGCAAAGCTAGCAGCACAAGCATTGAGTATATGGACCCGGTCAGCAGAGCGAGTACAAGTGGATACTGATGGCAGCATAGTACCAGTTACATTTACTTTGAGCTTCAAGAATTTCTCAAGTTAATTGTCGCGAGCCAACTGAACAATGTTCTCCTGCAATGTTTTGACCATTATCCTGACATCATAGGTCTAGCATCTCAGTATTGTTTTGTCTTTGACAAGATCCCTCGTTTTCTTGAACAATGCTGCTCTTTGTTTTGTCAAAGCTTCATTAATGAAGACTCTACACCTGTTGTTTTTCTGAAAAGAGTAATACAATTTCAGTTTTTTGTTATTTCTGAACACAACAGCTATGTCCCTGTAGCTGACAAAATGCACTATAATATCTCTGGGCTGGGGATGCTGGTTTTTGGTGGGATATAAGACACGACGGTTAACTCTATGGATCCTGCTAATCTGGTGAAGTTCTACCGTTTGACCGACAGGTTGAAGGACGTGCTTGTTGATAACATTGCGAATTAACTTATCAGTGTCTTCTCCTTGCTGCTCTGGGATGCCAGAGCATTTGAGGCAAGTCCTTCTAGATTATTGCTTCATGTCATCAATACGGTCAGTAAGAAGGGAAATCTGATTATGCATAGCCTCAATCATGGGAAATCACGACTCTGTTATGGCAGCCTGGAATACATTATGACCAAGTATCATGTCAACAGCACGTCTCGTTGTTATCTCGTCATCAGATATGCTCCTAAGTAATATGTCAAGATCATTGAGA